ACCCCCCACCTTCCTTCCTGCTTTTCCAAGCTCTTTCAGTCAAGGGAATTTTCTTGAGTTGAACTCTTCCAATGCAGACAGAAAGTGTTTTCAATAAATATTTTTCTGTATGAAAGCTGTAATTACTGGGAGGATCACTTTCATGCATTTTATGAAACCACAGTACACATTTATGATTATCGTATATTCAAATTCACAAATGTTTTTCTTTGTTTGTTTCTAGGCCTTTAAGAAGTCATGTCAACATCAAATATTCCACTTTCCTTTCATCTCTTACAAAGTATGGAACATGTCAACAAAGATTTGGAAAATGACAAGAATTATCTATAGTGATATGAAATGTTTGTATAATAGGGAAATGATTAAACTAATTTTGGCATTATTTTTATCAACATTTTGTATAAATATTTATAACTACTCTTAACATCTTTGATTTTGTTCTTTTCCTCAAGTAAATTCTGTGTACCTTATCAAAGTGGGCAAATATCCTCTGTTATAAATTATCTGATCAGTAAAGTAATAAAAATACAAAGTTTCATTGTACTTTTTCTTTAGAGTCCCTCATTAATAACTCTTACTAACCAAGACTGAGGTCCTTACTATGAGTTACCAACTTGTGTTTCTTCCAAAACCTGAGTTGAAAACATGTGACAACACAGTACAAACCAAGAGGTTATCGATGAAAGTATTTGTTATATTCCTGATTTCAAATAGAGAGGGAAGATTTCAGTTCAAACACACCTTTGATTTAAGTGGGCTGTACAATGAAATACAGCAGACCAAATTGACCCGTCATAGTTTACGTATTAACTGAGAGATGTAATAATAAAGACAAAGAATCACTTTCAGTTTTTCCCATCATTCTGTGACTTTTTCAGTCTTCACTGCAACTGTGGTTTGGTCTCTTCAGGCATTGGACTCTCTTCCCAAAGGTGACAACGTGATAAGATCAAACTATAACTGCATAGACTAGTAATAATATTTGCAGAATGTACAGTGACTGCATGACTGTCTTCCAATCCTCCACAGTTATTCCTTTTCAGTGAAGCCTAGAAACTAGGCAAAGCGTTAGGGGCTATACCAATGCATGAATTTGAAATCTTTATTTGTAAATGTCATGCTTTTCCTTTAAAAATGATTGACATTAAGTTTGTATCTTTGGGAGGTAGGGTTACTTGAATTTTGTGGTTTGGATGTACAGTTATTTTCTTTTAATTGGCCCCTACAGATGTCAGTCATTTTAATTTCATACCAACTGGTCAGGGTTTAGTGTACAGGTCAAAAAAAACCTAGAAATTCATGGCATTTTACAAGACCACTAGCCTATAAAGTCAAACTGTACAAGATTTTTCTGAGCAAATGAACATACCCTTAGATTGAAAGCCTGAGAACAGAGCAAATGGTCAAATAACCAAATAATGATACTTTATTTACATTTCTAAATAGTTAACTCTGCACTGAATCATCATGTTTCAGTCTCGTTTGTTGGTCTTTCTTCCGATGTCTCAGGGAAGGTTTGTTCAGGTTTCATTGCACACAAGGCAAAGTTGACACTTGTATCCTCAATCCAACACCATTTGTTAAACACTGGCATGAAGAACATTCCTTTCACATCCATAATTTCTGAACCATCTGGGTAAATCAAAATAACAAAGAAATAAAATGAACATGGAAAAAGTATGTGCATGATATGAAAACCTAAGGTATATTAGGGCTACAATCCTTATCACAATTCACAATTGATAAAATATTTCTGCCTCCCCCCCCCCCCCCCTTGTTAGTGTAGGCAACAAGAAAATTAAATGGCATGAAAAAAAATCAATATAACAACAGTACTTGGCAAAGGCTGTAGCTTGGACAGAATAGTGCTCAGAGAACAATGTTGATGCATAAGCTAGCAGTTGAAAATTAAGGCCATTGTCAGGCTTTTTTTTTTTCACCATAAGTAGCATTTTTCAAGTTTGTGAGTCTGCAGGTAGAGGCACTATGCTTGTAACTAACGTGAAATGTTTTTTACCATTTTTGATTTCTCCTATTCCTGTGGAACAAGATTGAATGAAACAGAAAAGACTTGAATTTTCTGAATGGCTTAGAATAAGAAGGGTTATTATCCAACTGTGCTTCGTAGAGTACAAATAATGCACAAGACAAGCACAAATATCATGTGATGTTTGTACTCCAGAAATATCTGCGAAATTCACTTTCACTGAAATAACAATTTGACAAGTTGGAGAATAAATCTCTTATTAGATGTTTTGTTGTGTAGTATTGCTGTGTATTTTTACTGGTTGTTTGTATTTTGACTTGCCTAGGTCTGCTAGATTCTGTTGATCTTGCGATTAAAAATGCTGTATGGTTAAGTCACGAATTAAAAATTAATTACATACTTTGAGATATCAGATCTGTCAGCTCATCAACTGTTATGAACTTATTCCAGTCATGAGTTCCAGGTTTCACTAATCTCAGAAGATATTCTGCTCCCACAATGGCGGCGGCATATGACAAAGCTGTCTGGTTTATTGTTGTTATCACAAGAGAACCTCCTGGCTGAATAAATAAAATAAATTGTCTAAAAACTAACATTAAATCAATGTTATTAAGGTTAAAAAAAGGGGCTGTCCCATTTTTCCAATTTTCTGTTTCATTGGAACTGAAATTTAAGGCAATATGTTTGCATCTCAAGTCACCTGAGAAATGTAGCACGACCAGAGAGAAGACACATGTACTTCATCAAATACAGCACTGTTACATTCAACATCTCTTTCTCTCCATTATTTTCCTACTAACATCAATTCAGGTACTATTAACTAACCCATAAGTACAGATTCAGCTCCCACTTAGGGCTGAGTGATTACACCACTGGTAATTCTGTTACAAAATACACTATACAAGGTACCGGTATATCTCAGTGTCATTACTAACAGACAACACCAGGATAGCAATGGGGTACCACACAGATGTAACGGATAGAGGTGTGGAACTTGCCCTTCAGTCTAAAGTACAAACTCACCTTAAGCAACTGTGTACTGGCAGAAACAAAGGTGTCTTTATCTGTTACATGTTCAATAACTTCTGAAGCAACGACACAGTCAAATGATTCTGGTTCCTTGTCAGCTAACTCCTCTACTGTGGTGCATTTGTACTGCAAATTTCTGGTCACCTTGGGATCAAGCTGTGCATGTCTCAAAGCAGCATGTATATTGAATGCTGATGCATCAACTCCTGTCACTTCTGCACCTAGTCTTGCCAAAGGCTTTAAAATAAACCAAGTTTGTGTTAACTAGAGACCAACCACATCTTAATTTTTAATTCATTCATCTGTGGTGTATTGTGTTACATAGCATTACATAGAGTTACTCCTGTAAGAAAATTTCCTATTACTCTATTGCGTTGTAAGAAAAAATTAATTAAAATTAATTAAGAGTATTTTAAGGTAATTATACTATTGACTAGAGAGTATTTTATGGTATTTAATCATTGACTAGAGAGCCGAGTCACTTGACCCATGACCTGATTATAAAAAGTGGGAATCAGATTTTTGTGTGAAATTGGATGTGTAACTTTGTTCACCACATTCGTGCATTAATTGATAAACAGCCCTTATGATGCAAAACAGCTTCACTGAACAAAATAGGAAGAAATCGTCGCTTCTACGAGGTCTTGATGTTTGAGCAATCTGAGATTAGGAGGGCTTAAGGTGAGTGACAAAAAGTAATTTGCACACTTCCCCTTAGAAGGTGAGTCACCACCCTCCCCTCAACACAATAACCAAGAATCTTGTAATTCATCTGTACTAAGTCACTTGAAAGTCTCTCCTTGTCACCCCCTCCCCCAGGGGTTTCATTAAGGGCCAGGCACCGGACAAATTGACCGGTTGAGAGGACGGCTTTGCCCACCTGATTTGACCATCTGGAGGAAAGTTTATCAGATACAATGAAATATATGAAGTTCATATATTTTGAACTGCGGTGTTAGATACGTATGATGCACGACCCTCGCAGTAGATAGCGCTATTTAAGCAATAGCGAAAATCANTTGTGGTCGTTCAATTTTGTTAATCACTCGAACCTTTCAACTTGTCACGTTTAAGCATAGTAACACTACAGCACCTCTAGTAAAAACGGCGTAACGGTCTTATCACAACATGCACATGCGCAGTTCAGGCAAGACCACCCTTGTGCGCAATCGTTTTTTCTACCACATGTAAGTATTGCAGTAAATGGTTTGAACCCGGGGGTAACATGTGAAGGTGTAGTCTGATCGTCCGGGTGAGTGTAGTCCTGAGAAGGACTGTTGTCGGTGGTAGTGACTGACGTTTCGACAACCTGTGCGGAAGTCATCATCAGAGTCAAGTGAATGATTGTTGTCAGTAGAATGTTCTTATTCCAGTTCGTGTGAAATGATCGGTTGGTTTTGCCGTGATGTTATTGGCTGTAAGACTCAAGTGACGTAAGTCGGTCGTAATTGGTCTATTTTGATCTGTCGGTAAAGTTAAGTCGTTCTTTTTCGGTCGTTTGTGATGTTTCTGTCGTGACTAAGTCGTTTGTATGGAGCGGGTAGTTGTTGACATCTGTTTAGGGGAGTCTGTTACTTAGACAACAATCATTCAGTTGACTCTGATGATGATTTCCGCACAGGTTGTCGAAACGTCAGTCACTACCATCGACAACAGTCCTTCTCAGGACTACACTCACCCGGACGATCAAACTACACCTTCAACACGAAAGTTTATCTTATAAAGAAGTTCAGTTCAAAGAGTTTTGCCCACCTGTGAAAACCATTTTCCCTTCTGCAGAAAACATTAATGAAACCCCTGGTCCCCCCCAAATAATCTTGCCTAATGTTTACTAATGTTACAAGAAATTAAAGAAACATTTGTTAACAATACGTAACATTGAAATGGGGAGAGGGAGATAAATGACAGTCATAGAAAAGATTTGATAAGTAGTAGAGCATGCTAAGACTTTAGCCACTCAGCTCATTGTAAGTCGCTGTCAGAACTTACAAGATCTGACTGAAAGAGATGGATTTTATTGAATATAGTAGATGTTTGGTGAGTCCGTGAAATTATTTCAACCCTGTTAAATGTCTCTGGCAAGAGTACCATATAACCCCATACATTAATTATGCATTCAGACTAGTAGACTTTGTTTTGAAAATTTTGTTGTGAAAGACAAAGAAGTGGAATGCATAATTAATGTATGGGGTTATATGGTACTCTTTCCAATGTCTCCATACATTGTTTTTCAATCATTGCATTGGGCACACATAACCAAGTCAAACTTAAAGGTCTCTTGCTCCTGGCTATGCAGGCAGTAAATCTAGAGAATCTTCTCAGGTACAATAAAAATCAAAAATATTGGTGGTTCATAAACTGGCCACAAAACTCTAACCTCGGACAGTATTCCACCTCCACAGCCGATATCCAATATTCTCAAACCTCCAAGAGGTTTTGAGGGGGTGACATTTTCACCATGCAGATGCTCAAGAGAATTTTTAAAGAAAGGAACTCGGAGTTTATTCATAGAATGAAGAGCAGCAAAGTCACCGCTTAGATTCCACCAGTCACTTATTGTCCTGCTAAGCTTCTCAACTTCTTCCTCGTCAACAGTACTCTTGCGGAAAATTATAAAAGACGTATAAGTTTAGACATTTTACTAATCGTCCAGATTTATTAACGCATCATATTTTTTGTTTGGTCTTGGTAAACTTGACCCGTAAATACCTCCAATAATTTCCTTACCTTAGTTGAGGTACAAAAATTCCTACTGCTCAGAAAAATAGTAGAAATATACTCTACTTGAGGTGAACTTAGCCAACATTTAATTCTGAAAGCAGTAGGGCACGTTCGGGCCGCCATGTTTGTTGTCGTTTTATTCCCCCGAGCCCACAGTCATGATACACCGTAAGCGTACTTCGTGTAATTTAACAAATAAATAAAATTCAACAAATAAATAAAAGACGTATTTTTAACGAGGGAGGAGGGTACTTGGGTCAATTTTTGCTGCCTATGTGCCGCTGGCCTCACAGAACCCCCACTTATCAAGAGGTTCTCTTGCTACCCGTTAAAGTCTATTCTGTGGCCAATTAAAGACTCCATCTCAGTCACTTTTGGGCAAACGTAATTTTGCGGCGATTCCGTGAGGACCTCTTTGTCATGATCTGCTGGGGCTAAAAAGAGAGTATACTTAACGTGGCGATTGAGCAATTTTGTCGAACTGAGTAATTCGGGATTGCTTTGTTTTTGCTTTACTTAGCTCTTTGATTGGTCCAAAAATCTCGCGCCGCTCTCTCCACCAATCAGATGCAAAACTTCAACCGATCACATCTTCGGCAGTTTGGTTGGTCTTAGGTTGGGTTTTCATTGTTTCTTAGTGGCATTTTCCTTTCTTTTGATTGGCCGTTGTGATTACGTACGTTTTTGGTTTTACGACACTCAAAAATTTTTGATTAGCGCTTTAACAGGGGCGTGTTGTGTCACGTTAACACTCTCCTGTTTGGAATCAGTTTAGGTCAAAGTTTTAGCGTTTTCTTCCCTAGTTTCGCTTAATTCCAGGTAAGCCAACAATTGTTCACTCCACGGAAAACAGAAGAAAACAATAATCGGGGATTTTGAAATATACAAATGGTTTTTAAAGAAAATATGTAGTTTAAAATGCCTTTAAAAATGTTTACTGAGTTAGGTCATGTAATTTTATAACAACACTCATTTGCAGTAAATGGTTTGAACCTGGGGGTAACANCTAGGCATTTGGCATGCACCCATGAATTACAATCGGCACACAGCGGGGAATCTTGATTCGATCGAACGTTCTTGCTGCACTGCTTGCAGGGATATTTCGGTTGTTTCGGTTGTTTCATGCTGTTGCTCGGTCCAGGGTTTGTTTGAACGTCTCCCGCGTTAATGATACGTTGAAGTTGAAAAGTACTATTCCCGTTCGCAGTGTATTGAACCCTCGAATTTAAAGATGCTTTTCCGCGGCCACAGCTTGATGCTGCCTGATGTTTTTCAAAGTTTCGGCTACTTGTCTCGCCTCCCATCTCACAACAGAACAAGGCCCGTAAAATAAAAATGTATCTTCTTCGTAGCAGACGTTCAACAGACCGGTGACGAGCATAGAAGTAGGATGTGAAGGTGTAGTCTGATCGTCCGGGTGAGTGTAGTCCTGAGAAGGACTGTTGTCGGTGGTAGTGACTGACGTTTCGACAACCTGTGCGGAAGTCATCATCGGAGTCAAGTGAATGATTGTTGTCAGTAGAATGTTCTTATTCCAGTTCGTGTGAAATGATCGGTTGGTTTTGCCGTGATGTTATTGGCTGTAAGACTCAAGTGACGTAAGTCGGTCGTAATTGGTCTATTTTGATCTGTCGGTAAAGTTAAGTCGTTCTTTTTCGGTCGTTTGTGATGTTTCTGTCGTGACTAAGTCGTTTGTATGGAGCGGGTAGTTGTTGACATCTGTTTAGGGGAGTCTGTTACTTAGACAACAATCATTCAGTTGACTCTGATGATGATTTCCGCACAGGTTGTCGAAACGTCAGTCACTACCATCGACAACAGTCCTTCTCAGGACTACACTCACCCGGACGATCAAACTACACCTTCAACACTCAGTTTGCCTATTATCACTCACTTGACTCTCTAATCATCCACATCTTACCGATACGATAACAAGTTTGCTCCTGTGTATTTTCAAATAAGCAACACTGATTTACACATTCACAAAAAACTACTCAGTTGAAATCGTTTAAGTTCGAATTCTATGGAAATCTCCTGAAGAAACTACAGTCAACAAATCAAGTAGATAATGTGACTATCAGCGGTATCTGGCTTACGGATCTAGGCCGGAATTTTTTTGTCACAAAACATCCCACTGAATCGTCCCATTAATTTTACAATGTGACAATGCTTCATTTTTCGTTGCAATTTATGGATCTGCATCAAAGTAATCTGATTATTAATAAAATGTCCCCTAAATAGTAAACCGAGCATGCTTGTGACCTCCATGATCCTCTCGGTTTATTGAAATGCGAGGGAGTAAGTAACGAGTCTCCCAAGGTCCCAAGCGTACAGCAGTCTCTCTTTGGGGTTATAATCCACCATGGAGTTATAGCCGTACTGGTTTATAAACCGTATGTTCGGATTCCAATGTTTTCCTGTTTTAGTGTCATAGGCAAAGTTTATGGTCGTGGGATTCCCGTTACAACTGTCAATACAGTAAATCACTCCACAGGCTACAAAAGCATTGCCAATTGACTGCATTGGTTCTGTGACAAACAAGAAAGTAGGACAAAATGAGTAGCAATAAATAGACGAATGGTTAGAAAGTCGGTGACCGCCGTTTCATGTACTCAAATAAGAAAATCATTCTCAAAAAATGATTTCCGCCAGTCTGATTGAAATACGAGACTGGTATTATTAGAGGAACTTCTCTCCAAGATCTAGGTACGAGTTTCCTTGGGGTCTTGATGTTTCCACGGGGTCTAGACGATATCTAGTTATTTATCTGGAATGCTTATAACAGGTACTAATGGTTTGTCGCACGGCGAATGGTTGTCTTGTAAATTACCCATTGAGGGTGATTTACATGTGGGCCTTTTATGAGATCAATTATTATGAGATCCAATTCATTCTTCTTGGAGGATTGAAATAATCAGGTAATAAGCCCACTGACCTAAGCCACAGATCCAATTTATTTCTTTCGAAGGTAAAATGAAAATATTATGCCCAACAATATTGGTCGGGACTTCCAATAATTTCTCCATATCTCTTTTACCTGTGTTCAAGGCCCACGTTCGCGTTATTCGGTTGCTATTTACGTCGATTTTTGCCGCTTTCAGACGTTTGTTGTTACTATAACTTCCCCACAACACCCACAATCCATGCTCATCAACTGCTAAGTCCACTCCACTGTATCCACCCCACTGGTAGTGGGTCCCGGGTGTGAAATCACTAAGTGTTACAGTGCCCTCGAGACGCTCTGTCTGCAGATTATACCTGTTTATGTAAGATGTTCCAGCTCTGTAACGAGAAGGGGAAGAGATTTTGAACGAAGATTAAAAAAAGAAATCGATCGGGCCTTATTCCTCAGCCCTTTAAATAAGCAGTTGTATGGTTACACCTCTCTTTGCTTAATCAAGGGAAGGTTTTTAGAACTTAGCATAAGAAACCTCTGAGACTGCTCTGAAGAATTTCAGAAAAATAAAATGCATTTTCATAGCCTGTTTTTTTTTTAGTAAACTTTCTTTTAATTACTACAGTACGATCTAACTGTGAATTTGCAATTAAAAGACTGTTATTCTGGAATTATGAAGATCAAAGGAATTTAAACCTAGTTTTCCGGTTAAATATCAACAAATATGTCGTTAAAATGTGCAGCTCCAATTCATCTACTCGTACGTTTATTGAAATGCTATCTTTGCAAATAGAAATAGCTACGGAATATTTGCTGCTCGCAAATTAAGGTGAGTTTTAGGATGAAAACCCAGAATGTTGCCTAACCTGTTGTAGTAGAGGTATGACCCATATACCACTGCTCCCGTCCCGTGCCAGTTGTGAGGCAGACTGTACTGTTTACGAGTCACGCCTATCTTTAACTTTGCTATGTTTTCATATTCTTCAACCACCTTTCTACCAGAATAAAATTTCATTACAAATATGGTGTCTTTTCCCATAACTCCAAGCGGGTCCTTCATCCAGGCTCCTTGAGTGGTCCGTCGTGAAAGATGAAGGACAGGCGTACCAACAGTCTTTATGACTGCTGAACAGCTTTCTAGAAAACGAACAGGAAATTGATTTTAAAAAATGCACAATTTTTTATTTAATATGCACCGATGTTTGACTCATTATCACTTCGAGGACGATGAAGGCTTCTGCTACATGGCATTTCACTTGTTTTCGAACAAACCGCAGAGCCCGGACTAAAAGAACACCTTGATATGGTGTATCAGTTATTCACGTGCCCTTCCCAAGTCTATGGTCAGTTATATTATGTTGAGATGATTCTCTGAGTTGATAGTTCACTTTGTAGTGGGTCAAAAGGCACCGCCATGTTTATCTAACCTTTAACTTTCACAGCAGTGGAAACCTCGGTGAAACGTTTTCCTGCTATTGTAGCAATACACGTATAGTTTCCAGCATCTTGACGCTGTAGATCTGTGATAACCAGTCCTCCCTTTGATATAAAACTCCTCCCCGCGGGCAGTTCGCCTTCTTGTCTTTTCCAGCTAATCACTGAGTGCCCATCTCCAGTTACACTGCAGTTCAGCTTCAAAATTTTCCCGGGATATGCTGTTACTCTCTTTGGCGGTTTAAATATAAATTTTGGAAGAGAGACCACGAAAAGCAGAGTTTTTCCTACAGCTCTACCACGAAGGTTTGACGCCGTACATACATAGTTGTCAGAATCATTGCGGCGAACGTCCAATATTGTCAGCGTGCTGTTGTTGTTGTTCAACTGAACTCTTCCTTGTGGTAACTGACCAAACGGTCTGAGCCATTTGACATCTGGCCGTGGATGCCCTGTCACGTGACAGGTTGGAAGAGTTGTGTTGCTTCCTGTAATGGCGTACATTGGTCCAGGATTGAGAAAAATACGCGGATGAACTAGGAGAGAAAAAGAACATGATGAATTAGTTATGTGCTAAAACAAGCTATTCTCTCCAATCAACAGATGTCCATGAATAATTTTAGTAATACAGATTCATAATCTATGGGATGTATTAAACGTGCATGTCATTTATCCAAGAGCTTATCCCTCAGCATTAGGGACATTAATAATTGAAGCTGAACTTTCTTCTCCGCGCAGCAAATGGTGGGACTTACTCTATCCTTTGTCGTATTATATTTTACATTTTAGCTATCATTAATTAGACATGTAACGAGGAAAAAACCATCGATTCTGGGTCCATTCTTTATGAGAAATTTAATCCCTGAAGATGTAGAGTAGGAGTTCAAGTGACGCCTAAACATACCATTTACTACCAGTCGAACCACTTTCTGAGCCTTTCCTAAGATGTTTGCCGCTGAACACTGATACAAGCCAGCGTCACCTTCTCTAATATTCCTCAATTGCAGTCGTCCTTCTGGCACCATCCTTTTCTCTAGTTCCAATCCATTGACTAGCTTATCCCACTTTATTGTTGGCTTGGGATTACCACTGACTGAGCACTGGAAAGTCGTTGATTCGGTCTCGTTCACAGTCCAAATTTCTGGAGAAACTACAACAGTAGGACTCGATATCGATTCCCCAGGCTCCCCTTTCATTCCCGACATGCCTGTCGCTCCTATATCTCCTTTCTCTCCTTTGGGTCCAGTGTCCCCCTTCATTCCAGAAGGTCCAATAATGCCTTGCTTACCGCTTTTTCCAGGTGATCCCATCAGACCTCTGTCTCCTTTGCTACCAGGTCTCCCTCTCTTTCCCCTCGGTCCAGGTAGACCGGGGGGTCCTGGTGACCCACGCAGGCTGGTATGACCATTTGACAGACTCAACTGAAGCCTACCGCTCGACAGAAGTTTGTTGATCTTCAGTAAGACTTCCGATGACTCTTTTTCTTCTGTTCTATTCTTTATTGGATCAGCGTTGCGCCTGTTCCGGTTGAATTTAGACTGAGACTCTAAGAAAAAGACAATATTTGCAAAACTAAAGTGTTAGAGTCTGCAGCCACTTGGTAATAAAACAAAGGCAGTGTACTCGACTTAAGATAAATGTCTGCCACCGAAATATACATGTTAAACTTGGAAAAAATCGAGCTGTTTTTATTTCCTCTGCCCTTCCCATTGTAGATGGAACGATGTGGTGCAAGTTAAAAAGTAGATTTGAGGATTAATTTGTTTTAAGTGAGTATTTGTCTGATTATCATATCAAGGAAAGATTAATTAAGAGTAAATAACTTGGACAGCGAAACGAAAGTTTTTACGTGCTTCTATAACATCAAGGTCAACAATGTCATTATAAGCATTACCGGAAATTGTCAGTTTTAGATATCATCTTTGCCACTCAGTAGAGCTGGTCAGAACCAGAATGTATGATCTTTGTTTTGATGCTCGTCTTGATTAAACAAAAAAGGTGTGGAGACTAAAGAAACTCACGTAAAAGTATCAAATGAATTGGTAAATTGTTGCCTTAGTGGCCAACACCCTCAAGCTGCTTTATATGGGATTACCACTCAGTGCTTAGAACAATGTTTCTAATCTAAGTGTTATTAAAAAACCGTTCTTGAAACCAACACAGCTTGAAAGCTCTAGTGCAACACTGGTCATAAACAGTGATGCAGTAACCCGACTCTCCTGGCCTCGTCACGAGATCCGGTTCAAATTTTAAAGTTTCATTGGCTTTCGATGACTCGCTTTACACATTGCTACATTTGAACAGTATATTAGTCTAACTGGCTGGGAGTTAAATGCTGTTTCTCGTTTTGTTCAGTCACATTTCAAGCCATTCTATAAACCTCTAACGGAAATTATGGAAATACAATGGAATGTTCTAAGTAATGATCCGAACTAGGCTTTTAATTTTGATTTGAATAGTCTTCAGTCGCCCAGTCTCCTTCGATTTTTGCCACTCGTTGGCAAAGCGGTAAAATTGTCTAATAGAACGTCAAGTTTGAGTCGTATTCAAAGTAAACATGTGTTTGAGAGGACACTTACCCGTAGCCAAACTCTGTGCGAACTGTTCGTCGGTTTTGACGGTAGCCAAGGCATCTTCAAGAGCACCAATTTTGTTCCTCTGACTGCTCAGTTCCACTTCAAAACGTAAAAATCCAGCGCAGTAGAACAAGACAGATAGAACGGAAATTACTGATGCGAAAGAAGGACAGCTATTTTGTGTACTTGCTTTCATTATGGCGAATCAAAAGTCTTCGGAGAGTTGGCAATCCGTTTGACAAAATTTGCTGTTGTGTATCAGTCGAGTCACTTGATACTCTACACAGCACATCAGGAGAAAAACTTGGCAAGTTAACAATGATTTTCTCTAAAGTAATCAATGCTTTGGGATGAGATAAGGTCTGTCATTTATGGGTGAGAAAAGGTCAACAGGCAAACTTAACAGCTGGTGGAAGGAAACTTTCCGTGAAAACCTATCTTTCTTCGGCAATAACGCTCATCTTGTCAAATTGCTAATTTTGACAGCTGTAACGGTGGCGATATTAATCAATTGAAATTGATTTATCTATCTATTTAAACTCATCTTTCTTTTTAGCTGACTCTATTTCTGCTAGTACCACTTTTAGAGATATCCAGAATAAAATTGCAGTTTCATTTGGTTTAGGAAGGGGCCGCCATCAAATTGTCTGTAGGTATCTACTATCCAAAGGGGCATTGAAACATTTTTCTCTGAGGATTACCAAAGGAACCTTAACATTATTCCTTTTTTCTATTTCTTTATTTGTTATCCTCCCCGGAATCAAAAATGTGTCCCATCTTGTTAACACGTTCCCATTTTCAGCTAAGTTAAGTTTAAATTTTACACGCGCCCATCGTGATTATATCACCATGTAAAAAACAATAGAAGCTAACGGTCAGCTTTTGTCGCTCTTCAGGGCAACTGAAAGGCAACAGATACTTGTTTAAGAAATTTTTTTCCAAGCTTCCCTTCAAATGGTAAAAAAAAAAAATCGTGAAGTTAATCAAATAAAATTATTACAACGCACCTTTGCCAGTCAGCGATTTCAGTAGCAAATTACCATTCATTTATATCTCGTACTGAAGAAAGGAAGTAAACTTACTCTTTGTGTTCTAATCAATTCTGATTTATAGTTATACAAGAAGTATTCATAATTTTCAAAAATTGCATACCCTTTGCCAGTTAGACTCTTTTAAGGTTTTAAAATAAAGCATGGGAGACACTTTCTAGAGGGTCCACAATAGGTTTGGCGGGATGTGGGATTTGGCTATTTTTCGTGGTGATGTTCGGGATGAGCTGAAAACAGAAGCGGGATGCGGGAATTTTAACAGCCAGCGGGAGCTGGATTTCCTATTTTTATGGGGATGGGATTCGGGAATCGCAAGGAAAAAATAGCGGGATACGGGAATTTAGTTTTGTCTTGATTAAAAATTCATTAGCGTTGACTGAAAACGAAAAAGGTTCTTAAGTGTGTATACCGCCTTTGTAGTCAAGCTGAGTGTCAAAGGAAGTGAAGCCTGTCAAATTTTGCCCATTATCACTATTTTGTGTTGTTCGTCTTTCCCGGTTTTACTATTTCCGCCGCTTTCGTCACTCGGAAAGAGGTGTCAAATCACTGAGGTTAGAAGTCACGTTCGTTAAGATGTCTAAGATCCTGCACTCATTCCTGTTTTGTTGACGGATTTGACCTTTTCTGCTTTTGCCTGGATGGACCTGTCGGACCTGGACGATCCTTTGGACTGTGCGTTTCCTATTAAAGTAAGTCTGGGCACAGTATGGCCACACCAGAGCTGATAGAAGTGGACAATGTGGTAGACATCATAAATTGTGTGGCTTTATATTACGAGAAAGGTGCCAGTGGTAATGCGTTTCTTCGGAAAGAAAAATTTCGAGCTCCCAAGCAGCAGTTGTATAGTACCAAAACGAATGGGGAAACGTCGGATAGATGGCCATCTTAAATAGTGACATTTATATTTCTCACCGTCAAGGCATCGAGAAAGTTTCATTATCAACATATTTAAGAGCACGGATTATTTCTTCCGGTCCAGACTACTGTTCCTTGGCTCCCTCCATTGCGGTTTACAAAGATGGTTTGGTCTATTCAGATCCGCAATCGCATCGCATCCTGCACTGGATCAGAAATGAGGAAAGAGTGAA